AACATTTTAAATGTTTTAGCTAAGGTTTCGGCATTCTTCTTGCCAGATCCCGGTGGCATTAAAGTCCATGGGTTATAAAAGGTGCCGCTTTGCGAAATGGCGCGATGAAAAAATCCTGTGTGCGATGGAGTTCATACATTATAACAATATAAATATATAGCCATACATATTTATTTTTCTATTTTCTATTATATTTTATACTTTTTGTATTTAATTATTTGTAAAAAATTTGGTGCAACTAATGTGACAGTTCACGAAGATATTGTAAAAGATTTACCTTTTGAAAGAGGACTGACCATATGATAGTGAACACTAGCACCACCTGAACTTTCACCAAAGATAGTTACTCTTGTCGGATCACCATTGAAATAAGCAATGTTTTCCTTCACCCATCGCAAAGCTTGCTGTTGATCCTTCAGTCCTAGATTTCCTGGACATTCCGAGTCCTCTGTGCTCAAGAAACCCAACGGTCCAAGTCTAATGTGAGAAGAATCGTTAGATTAGAGAATTATTCCGTTATTCAAAAGTTTCATTACCGATAATTCACAGTGACGAGAACAATATTGCGGTCCAGCAAGTAGTTGGGTTTATAATAATCGCTACCACCACTAATCCATCCACCACCGTGAAACCAAACCATAACTGGAAGTTTAGTGAAAGAATGTTTCTTAACACTCGGTGTGTAGACATTTAAGTAAAGACAATCTTCTTGACCGATAAGAGTTTTCATAGTTGTAAATATATCTTTTTGTATGCAGAACGGCGAAGGGCTCACGGCTAGTCGTTTTTTGGACCATGCGGATGCGGGTTGTGGTGGCTTTAAAAAAGAGGTAGACTTTAATTTAAATATTAAAATTTAGGTAACAAAAATAGTGGGTATGGCAAGTTTAAAGTGAATATGTTATGTCATGTAATTACATGAGACAAATATTATTTTATAAAATTAAAGGAAAAATAAATTTTTATTATAAATTTGTATTCATAATTTTCTCTTTTATTTAATCGTTATTAATTAACTGTTAACTGTTATGTTAATATTTTAATTTTTTTATTACAGATTTTTATTGATTTTTTCTCTCTGAAATATTTCATATATTTTCGACTTTGATCATTTTCATATAAAAATAATATATT